CCCCAAACCCTGTAAACCCCTAAACCCCCAAACCCCTAACCCCCAAACCCTGTAAACCCCTAAACCCCTAACCCCCCAAACCCCTAACCCCTAAACCCCCCAAACCCCTAAACCCTTCCACCCCTGAGCCCTTCAACCCGGAAAGCCGGAAGGATTTGGCTCGAAGTGGGCTGCAACAACTGGGAGATGCTACTCGAGAGCCTCCCGGAGGATCGGACCCGGCTCGGGGGTTTGGGTTCAGAGGTTTGGGCGTTTAGGGTTTAGGGCTTCTGGGGTTTAGGGCTTTTGGGTTTAAGTGGGCTTTTGGGTTTTAGGGTTCAGGGTTTGGGGTTACGGCTTACGGCCTAGGTCTTAGAGTATAGGGATTTCTAGGGGCTGTTTGCATGCCGTGGGTTTGAATAATTACGTATGGTAGTCCCTTCACAGCCCCCTATGAAGTCATAGCATGATATACTCCAATATCCTAAACCCTAAACCCCAAACCCTATAAGCCCTAAACCCTATAAACCCTAAACCCTAAACTCTATAATCCCTAAACCCTAGTTATGAAGGCTTACTGCTGGTTTCTAGGGCTTTCACATGGTTTTGGTACGGCGCCATAAGACTTTCAAGGGCCTTATAGGTCTTGGATACAGCGTTGTTTGGACTCTAGAAGTTTAAACAACTGTTGGAACAGGTTTCGGGTGCTTGTTTCCTTGACAATCCGTATGCCGGATTCTCTGGAATAAGGCACGTTCAGGAGGGTTGCAGGATTCACGCCAGACGTGTTTATCCCTTCTGCCAGGACGGTTCAGTCTTTCTGCTCACCCTGGAGCCTTTGGTGGACAAGTTCGCTTTTCTTCGGGCCCTCCGTCGGCCCCATCACCTGGTGCTGCCCCTCGCCGTGGCCCCGAAGGTCATGGGCCACTTCTCCACCATCCGCTCCCAGAACTACAGCGCGTCTCGGCGGTTGCTGACTTTCCTGGGAGGCCTCAAAACCCCCATGAGCACCACCGACAGCTGCATGATGTGTATCAGCGCACCAGAGTTTCATTATAACAACCATGAATGCATTGCTCTCTCAATGCGAAATAGTTGCTGGAATTGTCATGGGCAGTCCTTGCTACGGAATGCTGCTCGTTTCTATTCCTGCCGGTCTTTACTCTTGGTTGGGTCCAAGTTTTGTATTTCCCTGAACAGACGACATCATCCAACTGCTGTTCATCATGCATGTTCTTGATCTTACTATCTCTGTGTTGGCTTCTGCGACTGCAGACCTTTCAACCCAAACCGTCTTTACTGTTCTTCTACCAAGATTACGCACACATGGGTAGTTGTCAAAATTATGGTCCCTTTTGGGGTACCCTAAATAATAGGTGCCGTATTATAATAAGGACCCCAAAAGGGACCATAATTTTGACAACCACCCACATGCATTTCCCAAGTCAAGCTGGGTCTCATCCGGGAGATCTCCAAGTCCAAGCCCTCACCTCCGAGAGTATAGCATAAAGGCTGAGGATGTAGTGTTAGTCTAGGGGCCGAAATAATTACAAATACTATTTTGGGCGGCTCCTTATTATAATTATAGTCTAAACAAAACCCTAGTCTAATTATTTAGGCCCCTATACTAACTCGAAGTCTCAAACCCCAAGGCCAGAAACTGAGAACCTCAAGCCCCCACGCACGAGACCCTGAGCCCCAAACCCTAAGCCCCAAACAAGGACTTCCGTGGTCGTCCCGGTGCCCGCTTTCAGGAGAGTGGCGCCAGTTCTTTGCTGAGCTACGCCTCCGGGCTGCCAGACTGGACTTTAGTATTTTCTCAAGTTTAGGGCACTGAGGGTTCCCCAAGTAGTTTTTTTTTTTTTGGGGGGGGGGCTTATATTTAGGATCCAAAAAAGGGAGTCCCAAAAAGGAACTACTATGGGGCCTATGGGTAGCCGCTGCCTGTAAGGACTCTGGAAGGTCTTACAAGTTTCGTAGTTTTTGTTGTTCAGGGTTTGGCATGTTTTCCAGATTCGGTGGTTCAGGTCTTACTTTTCCGTGTTTAGGGCTTGAGGTGTAGATTCGTGAGAACTGCGGTGCAGGATTCAATGTTTTGTTTTTTGGGTTAGGGGGCTCAAGGTTCATGAACGAGTACGGTTCAGAGTTCAAGGTTTTGTTCTTTGTCTGTGATTTGCCAGGCTTATACAGGTCCCAAACTCCTGCAAGCCCCCATGAAAACGTATAACACCCTATGAAACCCTGTAAGACCCTTATACTGCTAGAGGACAAGTGCCTTGAATGCTGGACAGGTTCCGGGACCATCAGTGGGATGGAGCTGAAGCCCAGTATGCCAACTTCCGGGAGTATTCAGCTCCTTTGCGTGGCTTTAGTTCAGGGTGTCGGGTTTAAGATTTAGGGTTAAGAGTTGATCTTCAAGAGGCTTTAAGTTCTGACGGAGACTTTATGGTTCTTCAGGGGGCTTTATCTTCAACAGCTTTTCTTCTGATGTGTGGTGAAGAACTGAGTGAAGATTTGCGCCTCATAGCGCAGACCGCCGCTTAGTCACGCCTGAGCTCTCAGCCCCATACCCTAAAAACCTTTAAAAACCTTGTAGACCCTATACCCGAAACCCCAAACCCTAAGCCCTAAACCCTATACCCGAAACCCTAAACCCTAAGCCCGAAACCCCTAAACCCCTAAACCCTATAAAACCACGGAGCCCCGAACAAAAAAAGCCGAGGTTCCCACGGTGTCTTTGGAGTGGATCGTCGGAGCACTGCTCGGCGACCGCGAGGTCGGGAGTTTCTGAAGATCATGGGTTTAGGGTTTAGGGT